GGCCCCACGTTCTACCCACCATCCTGCTGATTATTGCCAGGTTGTTTCAGGCCCTGCTCACTGTTTTGTCCACTTGTTCCTTCCACGAGAGGCTTCTGGTGAACGTGACTCCCAGATATTTTGTCCAAGCTCTTGGCTTTGAGTTGTACGCTATTCAGATTTATTCCTTTCACCTACAGTTTTCTTTTCTTCCTCGTAACTATCATGAGGTCTTTTTTCTTCGGGATCTCTGATAGTCCACTGGCCTTACACCATTCGTTTCCTTTCCCTAGCGGGTTCCATTTCTTCCAGTCCTTCAATAGTTTGGCCGTTCTGGTCGCCGTCTCCTCTATCTTTGTCGTCAACGTTGGTGTGCACAGTATTGCCTCCATTGCTCTTGTCGGCGAGTGTCTGAATGCTCCGAGGATTCGTTTCAGTGCTACGTATTGCAGGCTTTCCAGTTTCCTGGTCGTTCTGTCGTTGCGGATGCCTTCCCACCATATCAGTGCGCCGAACGTCAGTCTGGGTATCACTACTGCGTTGTATATCCAGTTCGTGGCAGCGGGGGTGAGGCCCCACGTTCTACCCACCATCCTGCTGATTATTGCCAGGTTGTTTCTGGCCCTGCTCACTGTTTTGTCCACTTGTTCCTTCCACGAGAGGCTTCTGGTGAACGTGACTCCCAGATATTTTGTCCAAGCTCTTGGCTTTGAGTTGTACGCTATTCAGATTTATTCCTTTCACCTACAGTTTTCTTTTCTTCCTCGTAACTATCATGAGGTCTTTTTTCTTCGGGATCACTGATAGTCCACTGGCCTTACACCATTCGTTCACTAGCCCGAGGGCCGTGTTCATGGCTTCTTTCGTCCTGGCCGTGTCTTCGTGCACCACTATTACCGCTATGTCGTCCGCATAGCCCCATACTTGGAAGCCGTTCTCTCTGAGTCTCTCAATCAAGGCGTTTACTGCTACGCACCACAGCGTCGGGGAGAGGATACCGCCCTGGGGGCAGCCCCTGTTTGCTGGTCTCGTCACTCTCGTACCGTCGTTGTCCACTGTTATTGATCTGTCCGTGAGCATGTTTTCGATCCATCTGACCAGTGAAGTTTTAATTCCGTGTCGTCGTTGCCCCGTGATTATTACTTGTTTCGGGGTTTGGTTGAACGCACCTTCGATATCCATGAAACATGCTACCGCGTACTTTTTGTTGTAAAGGGCGTATTCCAGCTCTCTGGTCACCCCGTGGAGCGCAGCTTCCACCGAGTGTCCGACTCTGAACGCGTATTGTCTGGTTGAGAGCGGTTTTCCTACGAATACCGCGTCTTTGGTGTATTTGTCCAGTTGTTTCTCGAGGATTTTCAGGAGAAACGACGTCAGGCTGATCGGTCTGAACGACTTGGGGGAGGAGCAGCCTGTCTTTCCGGGTTTTGGTATGAACGTTACGTTTGTTTCGCGCCTTTCGCACGGGACGTGTCCCGTCGCCAGGCTGGCTCTCATGAGTTTCGTTAGATGCGGTGCCAGCAGGTTTTTCCCTATTTTGATCAGTCTTGGATAGATGCCGTCCGGTCTCGGTGATTTGTACGGGAGGAACGTGCCTACCGCTCATACGGTTCTTTCCGTTGTGTCCACCTTTGCTACCGTTCTCCAGTCTGCGCTGGTGTCACGTGTTCGTTCGCTGTGCGTCTCACTTTCCGTGTTCGTGTTTGCGTCGTTATTCTCGGTGTCTCGTGATCCAGGGTCTCTATCGATTCGCGAAGGTTTCTCGTCATCGTGCCGTCCGGTTTTTGTACCAGGCCAACGCTTTTTTCATCCGTTGACTCGAGAATCTTGTTCATTCTGGCTATGTCTTGCGCTTTCTGTAGTCTGCCACAGATGCGCTTCCAAGTGTTTCTCTTTGCTTCGGCAATCTCTTTTTTGAACTTTGACTCTGCTCTCTTCGCGTTGAGTTTGTTTCGTCTTGTTTTCGTTCGTTGGGCTTTTGTCCGTAGTCGTTTGCACGTCAGTCTCGTTGCGTCTAGATCTGGGTTCCACCAGGGTAGTTTGGGGTTGAAGCCCCTTCGTTTGTTGGAGACCGCGACGTTTTCCGCGTTTTTCACGGCATTCGTGATGAAGTCCGTGTACTCGTCTATCTCGCTCGGGGTGCCGTATCTCGTCGGCGCCTCTCTCAGGTTTTCCTCCAACGTTTTCAGGTATCTTTCTTTGTCGAGCGATCTTGTGACGTTGGCCACCCGGAAGGTGGTCAGTCCGTTGCCGGTCAGTCGGTACGAGACGAATTTGTGGTCGGACAGCGACGGATCGTCCATGACCCTCCATCCGTTGATCGCGGTCTTGTCGTTGGCGGAGATTATGGTGACGTCGAGCACCTCGCTTCTGTCGCGGGTCGCGAACGTGGGTTCGGCTCTCTCGTTTGCCCATGTGAGTTCGTTTTCGTTCATGAAGTCGAGCAATCTCTCTCCTCTCGTGTTTGTCGTTGTGCTTCCCCACAGTTGGTGGCGTTCGCATCCGCCCCCATGACGACCTGTGCGTCCTCCTCTCGGCACCAGTCCATGAGCCGGTCCATCTTGTGCGTTATCGGGTCCTGTTCGTTGTGCGGTAGGTATAGCGACGCGATTACTGTCCTCTTTGTGCTTGTTCGGTTGGTTTTCCATTCTATCAGTGCCGTTGTGATGTCTCTGTCGCTGAATTGCGGCAGCATAACCATTCTTATTCTGTCTGTGTGTATAATGCAGGTCCTGGGTCTGTCCTCTGTGCAGTTGCTGATTATGTTGCCCATTCTGTCGAATCCTCTGATTCCGTACGTCCTTGTCCATGGCTCTTGGATCAGCGCCACATCGAATTTTTCGCGGGCATACAACTCTGCCAGCGCTCCCGCGGCCGCTCTCGATCTGNCTCTCAGGTTTTCCTCCAACGTTTTCAGGTATCTTTCTTTGTCGAGCGATCTTGTGACGTTGGCCACCCGGAAGGTGGTCAGTCCGTTGCCGGTCAGTCGGTACGAGACGAATTTGTGGTCGGACAGCGACGGATCGTCCATGACCCTCCATCCGTTGATCGCGGTCTTGTCGTTGGCGGAGATTATGGTGACGTCGAGCACCTCGCTTCTGTCGCGGGTCGCGAACGTGGGTTCGGCTCTCTCGTTTGCCCATGTGAGTTCGTTTTCGTTCATGAAGTCGAGCAATCTCTCTCCTCTCGTGTTTGTCGTTGTGCTTCCCCACAGTTGGTGGCGTTCGCATCCGCCCCCATGACGACCTGTGCGTCCTCCTCTCGGCACCAGTCCATGAGCCTGTCCATCTTGTGCGATATCGGGTCCTGTTCGTTGTGCGGTAGGTATAGCGACGCGATTACTGTCCTCTTTGTGCTTGTTCGGTTGGTTTTCCATTCTATCAGTGCCGTTGTGATGTCTCTGTCGCTGAATTGCGGCAGCATAACCATTCTTATTCTGTCTGTGTGTATAATGCAGGTCCTGGGTCTGTCCTCTGTGCAGTTGCTGATTATGTTGCCCATTCTGTCGAATCCTCTGATTCCGTACGTCCTTGTCCATGGCTCTTGGATCAGCGCCACATCGAATTTTTCGCGGGCATACAACTCTGCCAGCGCTCCCGCGGCCGCTCTCGATCTGTGTAGGTTTATTTGTACTATTTTTATCTGTTTGTCCATCGTGTTTCACGTCGTTGCCACCAGTTCTTTTGGTGTTCCGTCTTATCTCGTGTCTTTTTGGGTATTGATTCCGCGGGGGGTTGTAGGGGTTTTGAGTCGCTGTGTTTGCTGGGTTTCGGTGTCGTTTTACGGGTTCGAGATGGTCCGTGGTTTCGTCGCCTGTTTGTTCTTCAACGTTTAAGGGTCTGTGGTGTCTATGTTGTCTAGATTTTTGTTTGATCGTCCGGGGTTTCTGGCTGTTGGCGTCGTTGGTTGGGTCGGGTCCGTGTCGTGCGGGTCCGTGTCGTGCGGCTTTTGTTCTTTTATCTGTCGGTGTTCGTTGGTTTGTTCTTTTATTGGGCTTGTCGAGGTTGTTGATTCGGACGGTTTATTTGGAACGGGTGCACGCAGATCGGTCAAGTGTAGGGGTGGGGTCGCCCGATGTCGGACCGAGGGTCCGGTGGTCGTACGGGGGTCGTTGGGTCTGGTGAGTGCAGTTCGATTAGGTGCAGGGGTGGGGGCGCACAATTTCTGGTCCAAGATTCGGTGTTGATCGAGGTCTTTGGGTCAGGTACGTACAGATCGGTTAGGTTTGGGGGTGGGGGCGTACGGTGTCGATTCGAAGATCCGGTATTCGTGCGTGGGTCGTTGGGTCCGGTGTGTGCAGTTCGTATTAGGTGCCGAGGTGGGGGCCTACGTTTCCTGATCCGAGATTCGGTGTCCGTAGGGTCGTTTGGGTCAGGTGTATACAAATTGGTTAG